AAAAAAAAAAAAAGAACGAGCAAATTTGGTTGCAGCCATTGTTGTTTGGCAGGCCTGAGCTGGATTCAAACCCGCCACCTTAGGTGTATGTGGCTGGCACCTTAGCCACTTGAGCCACAGGCGCTGAGCCAGAATGAGCAAATTTGGGAGGCTAAGAGTGTGAGTTTATTTTGGCCATATGATGTGTAAAGTGCTTCAGTGACCATCTCTGACCAGGTAGGTAAAAATAGGTGTCTGTTGCTAAGAAGTAGGATTATTTAGGGCTTGAGGTATAGGTTTAGAAGTCATCTGCAAACACTTGGTGAACCAAGTCTGAAAGTGAATAAAATAAACTAAGGAAAGAATGTTGTGGAAATAGACCAAACTGCTATCATTTGGGTACTGTCTCTTTCTCTACAATATTATTATCTACTGTAGAGTCTTTCTTCAAGTGATTATCAGATAGGTAGTATTTATCTCTAAGAAATAGATCTCTTACCCTTCGGTGAGAAACAGATTCTGGAGGTAGTTATATGGAAAACTGGGAGAATGTATTCTTTTATTTATTTATTCTTTAGATACAAGGTCTCACTCTGTTGACCAGGCTGGAGTGCAGTGGTGTGACTGTGGTTCACTGCAACCTCAAACTGCTGAGTTCAAACAATCCTTGCTTCTCAACCTCCCAAGTGGCTAGGACTACAGATGTGTACCATCACAGTGGGCTAATTTTTAAAATTTTTTTTTTAGAGACAGTGTCTCACCATGTTGCTCAGGCTGATCTCAACCCTTGGCCTCAAGTATGAGAGAAAGTTTTCTAATCTACACGGAAACACATGACTATCCTCTAATTATAGAGCTTCTGTGTTTGTCTCAGCAACATCCCTGCAGCAAATAACAGTAGTTTTGGTCAAGCTGTTTCTTGGAGCATGTGTCAGTGAAAACCTAGGGCATAATGCCAAAATTTAGTTCTTTGAAAGATTCTACAGGAGCTAAGATAGCGTATAGAGCATTTTCATGGCAATATTTTATTCAAGAACGTAACCTAGAAGAGTCAAGCAGTGTTTTTCAAGGATGTGCAGAAAGAGCTCTGAGGTTACTTGGGGACAACTTCAAGGGCTGCCCTTAGAGTGGGGTGTCAGGAATAGCCAGAGGGAGGTTAACCAGGCTTACTTCTAAGGTTCCACCCATACTTTTATGTAAGTATGTATGTATTAATATAGAAAATTACAAATGTAAACTTACAATACTAAAATGAATCTGAGTTGTTCATCACCAGCTTCAATAATTATTGTTTTGTTTTTACACCTCCAGGTCCACCTGAAGCATATTCTGTATCTTATTTATCTGTAAATACTTCAATATGTTTTCTTGAAAGATAAGGATTCTTTTTTTTTTTTTTTTTTTCAATTTTCTCTGGGGCCAGGCTTGAACCTGCCACCCCCAGTATATTAGGCTGGTACCCTACTCCTTGAGCCGTAGGAGCCACTCAAAAGATAAGGATTCTTTTAGAACATAGAACCACAGTCCAATTAATAGTAACTTAAAAATTAACAGTATTCCCTCAATGTCATCAAGTAGCTATGTTTACTTTTTTTTGTTTGAGACAGAGCCTCAAGCTGTCACCTTGGTGGCGTCATAGCTCATAGCAACCTCCAATTCTTGGGCTCAAGCGATCTTCTTACCTCAGTTTTTTTATTTTTAGTGGAGACAGGTTCTCACTTTTTGCCCAGCCTGGTCTTGAATCTGTGGGCTCAAGCTATCCACCTGCCTCTGTCTCCCACAGTGCTAGGATTACAGGCATGAGCCACCACAACTGGCCCTTTTTTTTCATGTTAGGAACCTAGAATAATCAGTGTCTACATGTGTAATTTCACTGGATGTTATAAATGTTGATATTTTCATTCCTTCATTTTTTTTTTTTTT